AAAGTTTTTCTGACCCTAGAAGACAAACCTAGTTCTGATGCTGAAGCAAAACTTGTTTACAACTTAACTCTGTCCAGTATAATCTATTGCGAAATGCAACAACCTGTTTTGTATCTTTGGAAAAAGCAGTTTATCTAAAAAACACAAAAGGGTTTCTTTTGTAGCAAAATTACAAGCGTACCTTTGTTGTGATGAAAGCTTTGATACTTTGCAGCTAGATTTCATACAGCATAGCAAATAGAAGCATAGAAAAATGGAAGCCAAGATTAAATCCAAAACTGAGTTGGTGCATTAGTTTCATAAAAAAATAAAATAACAGATGACATTTGTTTTTAAACTAAATGCACAAGTTTGGACAAAAAAAAAAAACTCCAGTGTGAAACTGTTTAACATCAAAGAGCAAAGTTTAACTCCATTAAAATTCACTCTTTACACAAAAGGGTAAAGCCAATCATGGATAATTTTTTCCCCATTAGTTCCCTCATTATTTCTTACCTCTTGCTCTTGTTTAGTGCCTCAGTTTTTGTCCGTAATGATAAAGTTTAAGAGGCCTAATTAAAGGCATGAGTAGGCATTGGTATTCCAAACTGAGTATAGAATCATTTCAGAGGGACTGCTTCCCTTAACTGCAAATGTTCCCCCTCTTGCTCTCAGCATGTCGACAAAATGTAATATTAAACACCTCTGCAAATGAAACCATTTAGGGGCTTCTGAAAGAAGATGTTGGCTATCTGATGCATATCAATTGAACGAAAAAGGTGAAGAATTGCATTAGGAAATGACTGAGAGAAATGTGAACGTTGAAAAAGGGATGTGTTCATTCATTCCCTTAAATCAATGAATAGCTGTTTGGTATCCCTCAAGTTCTTGCAGACATGTAATCTTTGTTGCATTTTATCTCTGATACATTGCATATTACCTTAGATCTTCTACCCGAATACAAGCAGGATCAATCACATACAGGTATTGGCCCCCGTTCTCACTTGCTCAAAGAATAGATGATTAAAAGCTTAAAGATATTCTAAGCATGCCATTTCCTAGTCCTTAGTCAATATTTTTTACCAGAAGCATTATGCTCGTTGCAGTTTAGATCTACAATACATCCGTTTTAGGATACATTAAGCCTATTTTTCAAATACGTTCAGCTGAACTTTGTAATGTAATAATGTGTTAGGATATTGTTTCAATCAGCATTATGTATTTTTGACATAAGAAAACAACAAATTCAGTTATTCGATTTAAATTAAATTGAATTTAAATTAGATGCATACAGATGAGGTTTTACAAATTTCTATTCTTAATGTTTTTTGTTTTATTTTTTTTTTTATTATTATTACGGCTAACAAAAATCCAAAAGTTTATTGAAAAATGTGACAAATTTGTGTTTTTCTATTTACCGGTATTTTAATTATTGTTCTGGGTTCCTTTTGCATATATTACTCCATTAATGCAGCTTGGTATAGAGGAGATTAGTCTGTCACTCTGTGTCCTTCAGGTAGGTTCCATAAACTTTGTGAGCAAAAGAAGGGGGGAAAAAAGTTCTACAATTTCTTGATTAATGGATTAAATTAAATATCAAAATACATGTCATTATCCCAAAATGGATAGTTTGAAAAAAAAAATGCATAAAAAATACACTGGCAACAATGAAAAAAAAAAAGCATGACATAACTTGGATGCAAACATAAACTATAATACTTTTCTATGTAGGGATATCAGCTCAAATTACTGATGAGGCTGATACTAATGGGTATAATGGAACATTTTGACCTTGTTATGTTGCAATTTATCCACTTTTATTGACATGTACCTTTGAGCAGTAAGCAAGAACCTGTACCTACTCAACCTTCTATGTTTCTGACTTTGGAGAGCTCAAATGTTGTTGTAACTCTAACATTGCTTGTTTTTTTTCTTTTTCAATAATAAGTTGTTGTAAATGTTATTGCATCTAATGGGGCTGTCTGTCTTTCAGCAGATCTGGAGAAGCCTTTACCTGAAGACGATCTGATGTTGTGCAACAGTCTTTTCAAGAGGATGCTAAGGGATGTTCATGAATGGTTTCATTTGATGAAGAATTATTTCTCATAAAATCATCTACAGAGATTCTAGAGGAGTTCCCAAAACAAAGCTGACTTTCTTTATCAGCTTGTTAAGCATCTTTAAGTCATTTGTTCTGATGCTTATATAAATTATGGCAAAAGAGATTACAATCTACACAACAGAGTATATTACCTACTCCAATAATATACTTAAATCTATAACATCCTTTGCAAAAGACTAAATGAGACCATTTTAATTACAGTAGCAGTAATAAAGATAAAAGATACAATTTTAAATTTTTTTTTTATAGGTGTGACCCTTACCTGCACACTTCTTGCAGATGACCACACCCAAATTTACTGATGCCCACTCCGGCTGGGATGCACCACAGTCTGCACAACTCCTGTTGGCCTGGTTGAACCAGATCTTCTCCGCCACTTCATAGTCGTAGAGCGTCTCCGCAATTGATTCATTGATCGCCTCGACCCACTCCTGCTTCTCCCGTTCTGAGTCTGCCACAAAGCTGAAAGGATCAATTATTTTCTTTAGCCTTGACCCGAACAAATACCTCACAGTCATTGATTTAATTTGAGACAGCAATTAAACACCACAGTAGAGCCTGGCATGGTGACAGTGGAGGGGGTGTATGTAGTGTTTTGGAGCGGGGGCAGTTGCTAAGTGTGGATGTCTCTGTGTGACTGCAGTAGATTGGGTGAAATTGATAGAAGCAGTGGACGGGGGGGAAGTAAATCAATCTGTCTCAGTATGTAACTCAACAATCCATTACATTTTAATGCACCACATTTTCTTTCAGGATGTTATTCCAAAATGAAAGTGAGCAAAACTGAGAATGGTTAAACAAATTTAGCACAAGCGTGACTAGTTACATGAAGTAAAACTGATAAGGAAATAAGTTCTCAAAGGAGATACTTGATATGTTGGTTTAAGTCTAGTTGAAAACAAAATGTATAAATTGCAATCAGTTATAACGGAATAACTCAGAAGAGACAGAAATATAAAACTCAGAGGAAAAAGACCAGGAGCACCCAGGGCTTGAAAGAAAGAAGCACTTAGAAAGGAAAAATGAAACCAGAGATCTCCATGGTAACCTGGCAACCGGTAGAAAGTAAGAGAAGAAAGTGAAGAGGAAGGAGGGAGTCTGTTCATGGGTTTGGGAAGGCTAGAGGATGGAGGAGGTGGTTTCTTCTGGAGTCGGGGATGTTGACCAGGTCATCCTCACCCAAGCAACCTGACGATAGGTTTATTGGGTTCAGCGATCCTGTGCCCAGCAGCCTCTATCCGGGAGACGACTGCTCAGCTACAGCAATGTATGCCTCAAAACCAAAGAGGGGGCACAAGTTATTAGCTGGGACACTATAAAAGCAGAGTTCGACACTTAGTCAGTTAAGACACTCCAATTCATATTTTACGACAAGAAAGTACCGGTTCCCACTTTAAGAAATACCATTAGTCCATTTATAATATACTACATGGAATGGACAAAAACATATATTGATTACAACTGAGGGCTGGACAGTGGCACAGTGGGTACTCCCTGTGCATGCGTGGGTTCTCCAAGTGACTCCGGCTTCCTCCCACAATCCAAAACCATTACTGTTAGGTTAATAAATCTCTAAATTCTCCTTAGGTGTAAGTGTGTGCATGAATGGTTGTTTGTCCTTTTTGCTGGGTTAAAGCATGACAGAAAATGGATGGATAATTACAACTGCTACTTTAACAAAAGTTGAGCTTTTTTTTGTCTGCTCATGAAAATAATTTTTCATTTGACCAAAAATGAAACCTTGAAGTCTGATGCAGTCAGAAATATGTTAAAATTGAGTTTAAATAAATATAAGGGGGCACTTTTAAAATAGATAGAAATGCCTTTTTTAAAGCAGATATGAAGCATATAGAAAGTATCAGCTAAAGTTAAAGAAAAATTTTTTTTTTCATTTCCCTGTTTGTAATGTATCATCGGTAGTAAATTGCTATTGAAGGGAGGTAGCGAGGTAGAAATACACTGAATAAAAACCCCATTTTGGACTGAATACAATATTGAACTCTTTTACACCCTAAAATAAAATAGACCAAGAATAATGAAGACTTTAAAGGTGGTAGTTTTTTTATTCAAAAGATGGTTGGTTTTGAAGTTAAGATTGTTGGGGCAGGGCAATTACTTACT